AGCAACTTTGCAATCTTCTATCATCTCAACCCTCTTTCGAAAGAATCTCTTCCTTTCTATAATTTCTCCAGAAGCACAGAAGGTACTGTTTTTCTCCTTTAGTCTAGCTTCCACTGTCAAAGTTGCTGCAACCTGACGAACTCTGTTTTCCAATGAAACTCCATCAGGTTTCTCAGAATCTTCTGTGCTAGCTGGCTCTCCTGAGTCAGTATCCATTGTAATTAAGGTTGGCACTAAAATTTTTCCTGTTCCACTCTTCAGTCCAGTTGCATCTCAGGTATCAGAATTATCAGAATAGACTTCCTTTTATGTGGTCATATGTTTCCATAGCAACCTGAAGGGGAAAAAAGGATATATTAAAATCACTCCACAAAGGAAATCATTAAGGAGAAAAGTCACCTGACTGTTTAATCCCTTTTTTCTTAATAAGAAGTTTGTTCTTTTTTCTGTCCAATCTTAGCAACCAGCAGACTCCAGGGACTGTGTCTTATCTTGTTTACCACTGTAGTCCTCAGTGCTTAGCAGACTACTTGGCATATAGCTCAATAAGTCTTCATATTGTATGAACGTTGGTTAGCAATCTAGTTCTCATACCCTTCTATCAATCCATCATATTTTTCCCCAAGGGGCTTAAAATTCTTTTAATCAACTTTCTCAGGTATAATTGTCATACAGTAAATTACATGTATTTAAAATGTACAATTTGATAAATTTTGACACAGATGTACACCTCTGAAACCATCTCTAAAATCAAGACAATGAACATATGCTTCTCCACCAAGAGCTCTTACTCCTGTCCCTTTGTAATTCCTCTAAGTAGTTCATTATCTGGATATACCATAATTTGTTTATTTATTCACCTCTTGATGACATTTGGGTTGAATTTCACTTATGGACTATTATGAATAAGGTTGCTATGAAGATCTGTGTACAAATCTTTACATGGACATATATACTCTCATTTATCTTGAGAAAGTACCTAAGAGTGGAATGGCTGTATCAGAAAATGTATGCTTAACCTTTAAAGAAACTGCCATCTGTTTTTCAAGGTGGTTGTATCATTTTGCATTCCCAGGAACAGTACATTAGAATTCCAGTTCCTCTGTATCTTCATCAGTACTCTACACTGCCAAATCAATATACTTTGAAAGTCAATAAGACTAGTATTACCTGCAAGTGGGAAAAGGTAATTAACAATGCCTCACTTAGGTAGAGAATTTTTTCTTTAACTTATTTTGACATAATTTTGGACTTGGAAAAAGACCTGCAATAATATACAAAGAATTTAGTATACCCTTCACTCACATCCCCAAATGTTAACATTTTAGATTGGACATTTTTAAGTAAGGATAACTCTATTCAAAAGAAAAAAGAATAACTCTATTCACTTAACTAAAGGTAACTTATCCAGAAACCTCAAAAGCAAAGATCCATAAGTAAGACAAAAGGATTGCTAAGCAGACAAAAATAGGTAAAAATCAGAGAATTTAAGTAGGAAAAAGACTTCAAAATTTTTTAACTGCAGAACCTCTTTTAAAAAATGAAATCTTACTCAGAATCCTAATATAAAAATAGAGGGGAAAGTAGTGCTGCTTTGGTATAATAATTTTAATTATAATGTCTGGTCACCTGGTTTCCCAAACTGTAGAATAAGAAGCAGCAAAGTAGAGAAATGGGGAAATGAGTGAGTTCCTTCAGCCTTTATAAACCAACCCTAAGACAAAAAATATTACTAGAGACAAAGAAGGACATTTTATAAGCATGGAGAGATTAATTCACCAGGACAATGTAACAATTATAAACATATACACATCAAACAACAGAGCCCCAAATACATTAAATAAAAACTGACAAAACTGAAGAGAGAAATAAACAATTCAGTAATAACAGTAGAAGATGTTAGTACCCCATTCTCAATAATGGGGAGAAAAATGAGACAGAAAACGAGCAAGAATTTGGAAAACCTGACCAATACTATCAATCAACTTGACCTAACTGCCATCTATAGAACACTCCACTCAGCAAGAACAAAATATGCATTCTTTTCAAGCACACATGGAAAAATCTCGAGAACAGATCATGTACTATGTAATAAAATAAATCTCAATAAATTTAAAAGGATTGAAACCAAAGTATGCTCTCCTACCACAAAAGAATTAAATTAGAAATGAACAGAATAAGGTAAGGGTATATAGATCAATGAAATAGAATTGAGAGTCTAGAAGTAAACCTTAACATTTATGGTCAACTGATTTTCAACAGAGAGGCCAAGACAATTCAATGGGAAAAGAACAGTCTTTCAACAAATGGTACTGGGACAACTGGATATCCACATACCAAAGAATGAAGTTGGACTCCTACCTCACACCATACAAGAAATGAACTCAAAGTGGAACATGGACTAAAACTATAAAACTCTTAGAAGAAAACATTAAAGTAAATTCTAGTGCCTCTGGGTTATGCAATGGTTTCCTAAGTACAACAGCAAAAGTACAAGTGATAAAAGAGAAATTGAGAAGCTGGACCTCAACAAAATTTAAAACTTTTGTGCTTCAAAGGATGCCATCAAGGAAGTGAAAAGTGAAAAGGCTGGGAGAAAATATGTGCAAATCATATACCTGATAAGGGACTGGTATTCAGAATATATAAAGAATTCCAACAATTCAATAGTGAAAAGATAAATAATCCAATGGGCTAAAGATCTGAATAGGCATTTCTCTAAAGAAGATATACAAGTGGCCAATAAACACATGAAAAGACGTTCCACATTGTTACTCATTAGAGAAATACAACTCATAATCACAAATACTACTCCATACCCATGAGGATGGTTACAGTAAAAAAGGCAAGACAGTAACAAGTGATGGTGAGGATATGGAGAAAATAGACCCCTAATACATTGCTGGTGGGAATGTACAATAGAACACAGTCTGGCAGTTCCTCAACAAGTTAAACATAGAGTTACTATATGAATACCATCTACCCAAGAGAAATGAAAACTTATGTCCAAACAAAAATTTATACACAAGTGTTCATAGCAGCACTAGTCACAATAGCGAAAAGGTGGAAACAATTCAATGTCTAACAACAGCTGGATAAACAAAATGTGTTATATCCATGCAATACAATATTATGCAGCAATAAAAAGAAATGAGGTATTGATACATGCTACAATAAAGATGAACCTTGATAATATTATGCTATGTGAAAGAAGCCAAAGGAAAGACCACGTACTGTATGGTTACATTTATATGAAATGTCTAGAATATGCAAATCTATAGAGACAGAAAATAGATTATTTGTTGCCTTGGGCTGGGGTATAGGAATAGGACTGACTTCAAACTGGCACAAGAAATATTTTGGGGGTGATGAAAATGTTCTAAAATTAGATTGTAATCAAGGTTTATAGAACTCTATAAATTTGCTAAAAATCACTGACATTTATATTGGTGAATTTTATGATATATAAATTATATCTCAATAAAATATGATGTCTTTAAGAATCTTAAAATATTGTGACTAAAATCAAAGCCATCATAATATCAAATATGCCTTTTTATTTTTATTTATTTTTATTTTTTTTTTATTATTTTTGCCATTAGATTAGCAAAGATTTTTAATTTTAATTTTATTTTTATTTATTTATTTGTGCTGTGTTGGGTCTTCGTTTCTGTGCGAGGGCTTTCTCTAGTTGTGGCAAGTGGGGGCCACTCTTCATCGCGGTGCGCGGGCCTCTCACTATCGCGGCCTCTCCCGTTGCGGAGCACAGGCTCCAGACGCGCAGGCTCAGTAGTTGTGGCTCACGGGCCTAGCCGCTCCGCGGCATGTGGGATCCTCCCAGACCAGGGCTCGAACCCATGTCCCCTGCATCGGCAGGCGGACTCTCAACCACTGCACCACCAGGGAAGCCCCAAATATGCCTTTTTAAAACTATACTCTCTACCTCCCTCACCACCACCACCACCCCATTCTGTCCACTCTCCTTATCTTCTGCCTGGATTCCTGGGTTGAGAATCATTGGTCTGAAGAGAAAAGACTTGACAACAATAAAATGTAATAGCTGGTGGCCTAAGGATAAACAATGAATAAGAAAAACAAATTTTAACAAAACAGGCAAAGAACTTCACTAAGCATAGTATATCTGGGGCCTTTTCATCATGGATCCAATAGCTTCTTGACCATAAAACAGAGTTTCAGAACTCAGGCTTTGGAGTGGGAGAAATCTGGAATCAATCATGGTTCTGCCTCTCACTCCTCAGAGATTTGGGGCAAATTACCTAACCTCATTCATTTTTTATTTCATTTGTGAAATCTCACAGGAATAATATGAAAATAAAATGGCAATATACATGTAAAGTACTTAGCACAGTGCCTGGCACAATATAATAATCAATAAATGGAAGCTTTTATTTCCTACCTCTTAATAACCCCTAAGGGCAGCACTATACTAAAGCGCTATACAATAATACTCAAGAAAACATTAAATGATTTTTCAGGAGGAGACTATTTAGTAAAGCTGAAAAGTATATAATACATTCTTTCAGAGTTTTCTGGTAAGAAATCATGGTGGCATTGCTAAAGGGGTATGCTTCAGTGACCAGGGTATCTCTTCTATACTCAGCAGTGCAGAAACATAGCTCAGTAAAATAGTCCACAAAAATCAGGCCTCAAACCTAAAGTCTCTTACTGAGTTCAACAGCTATGTATCATAACCCATGTGTGACCATTATTTCCTTCATAAAATGATAACACATTGATTTAAGCCCTAGGAATATGTATAAAAACAACTGCAAAAGCACTTCTATAGAGATTGAAATTACAGGGAAAATCTCACAAATCTGTGTCCCATATGTACTCCTTCAATATATTTGATATATAATCTTGGAGCATTTGAGTTAAAAGCTCAAGATAAGTTTCCCCCTGTAGCTTATCATGGTTCTATCCATGGGAAATCCAGCATACAATCAGTACGTTGGCAATGACTCAATAATTTCTTTAACTTTTGGAAACAGCAATTGAAAGAATGCATATTTAAATAGTCAGAATTACACAGTAAATTTTCCACTGACAATCCTCTCTCTCTCTCATACATGTGTATTCATACCAATAAACATTTACCAAGTGCCAAGCACTGTGTCAGGGTCTGGGGATAAAAGAGCAAAAGTCAGTCTTTGTCCTCAAGGACCCTATAGTTTACCCAAGCTTAAGATATACCA